GCTATTCAAGGTAAAACCTCAAATATCAGCTATTCCACTGAATATTTTTTAAAGAATTAAGTCTAAAATTCAATAATTGTCCATAAGCCTCAGTATCAAACCAAAGCTAGTTATTCCATAATAATTTGTTTAAAATTTGAAGGTGTCGAAAACGACACCTCGGCCATCCTAGTGTTAAGCACCTTACCTCTCACGACCTACTCTCTGACAAACAACATGGCTTCCGTTTTGCCACGTCTACCGCTGATTTGCTAATGACCATGAATATACATATCAAGCTCCAGAAAATAAGGGCGAGGCTCCAAATGTGGCTCAAGATATCTCGAAAGCGTTTGACTTCGGCACGCTGGTCTTCTACATAAACTCCAGGGCTACGCTATGACTGGACATTTGTTTGATTTACTCCAATCGCTCCTATCAAATTGTGAAATGAAGGTCGTTTCACCGTACGTGCGAGTCCCCCAAGGCTCTATCCTGGGTCCTACGCTGTTTCTGATCTTCATTTCTGATACTCCTGGTGCCATCAATAGGCATTTGTTCTGATGACACTACCATTTACTCCTGTCTCAATAGTAAATCCGCCAGAGCTGCTAAAATTAACCTGGTCGCTGCTCTTGAAAATGACCTCCAATTTGGGGTTAACTGGAACAGGAAATGTCTTGGAAATTTTAATGCCTCCAAAACGAAATTGCAGTCATTTAACTACCATAGAAAATCTTTCCTGCCCTCCATCAGCATGGCTGATGCTAGACTCCCGGAGATCGCCTCACTGTGTCTTCTTGTCCTCTAGTTTTCAACTGGCTTGAAGTGGAACAAACTACATGTTGTTCATAATGACAGTCGTCTTTGCATATAGAATCCAGAGGTTAGCAGTGAATATTTCGAAGACGGTAGGAAAGCGTTGTTCAGGTTAGCAGTGGATATTTTGGTAAAAAGTAGCAGAGCGTAGTTCAGTAATTCTTCCTTCTGTTCCTCTTCGCCTGACAAGTTGGCACTGGACATTCAGAGAGAGTAAACAAAATGGCCGCCTTTATACACGACGGATTGAATATTTTACGTCTTCTTATTGGTTAACTTTCTATTGGTGGACTATAAAGTGAGTCAAGTCATTTCGGTTGGCTCACTAGTAGTCTAATGTATCCAAATTTGTAACACAGACGATTGTTGATAACTTGATCAAATCCGTGAAAAATTGAATACAAGAAATCGCAAGGAATCAAGTCATTGCATTGGGTAGCCTAAAGTCCTGATATGATCCAATAGAGCACGTTTGAGAGCACCTTCACCGAAAACTTCGAGAGTGTACAACCAAAATCACGTCAGTGGCAACCTTTAAAGAAACATTGCTAAAGGAGTGTCAAAATATGGATCTGACTGTTGTTCATGATGACGGTCGTCTTCGAGTATAGAATCCAGAGGTTAGCAGTGAATATTTCGAAGACAGTAGGGAAGCGTTGTTCAGGTTAGCAGTGGATATTTTGGTAAAAGTAGCAGAGCGTAGTTCGTCCTTCTGTTTCTCTTCGCCTGACAAGCTGGAACTGGACATTCGGGTAGAGTAAACAAAATGGCCGCCTTTATACACGACGGACTGAATGTTCTACGTCTTCTGATTGGTTAAACTTCTATTGGTGGACTATAAAGTGAGTCAAGTCATTTGGATTGGCTCACTAGTACATAGACATACACAAACAACTGCAACACTACCTTCAATCAATAGCTGCATTTACTTCAAAGAAAGTTAGTTCACTGCCAGATGGTTTTTTCTATCTTGCACATTTACATTTGGCCGTGCATTGAAGACTGTTGCCATATCTGATCTGATGCTCCTGATATTCATCTCAAGATTCTTGACAAAATCCAAAGAAGGATCTGCAATGTAATAGATCCTGACCTGGCATGTCGACTTCAGTCACTTTCTCAAAACGTGATGTGGCTTCTCTCTGTCTTTTCTACAAATATTTTCGTAGCAACTGCACTGACGACCTTTTTTTCCTGGTTATCATGATTACATGAATTTAAGCGTGCTACTAAATTGACATCTAGGTCCCACTCTGCTGAAATAGTTAAATGTAACCGCCACTTTTACTCCAACTGTTTCCTTTCTCGCTTTTCCCGCCTGTGGAACTCCCTTCCGTTTAATTGCTTTCCTAAGAACTACAATCTTCAAACATTTAAATGCAACGTCAATCGTCGTTTGGAATCTCGTTCATCATTTAAACTTTTTCGGATTTTGAGTTTTTCGCCGTACTCCTGTCTATGAATAAAGTCCAAGACTTTTTGAGTCGATTGAAAAAATATTGTCCTGGCTGCTGCTATTGAAAAGGACTTCCAATCAGTGGTTAACTGGAGCAAGAAATGTCTTGGAAATTTTAATACCTCCAAATGCTCTCATTTAGCCATCATAGAGAAACTTCCCTGCCCGCCATCAGCATGGCTGATGCTAGACTCTTGGAGAGCGCCTCACTGTGCCTTCTTGTTCTCAAGTTTTCAACTGATTTGAAGTGGAACAACTACATTGAATCAATAGCTGCATCTACTGTAATTAAAGTTGGGTCACTGTATCATGCCAGATGGTTTTTCTTATCAGAGACCATCTTGCACATTTAAATTCGGCCGTGCATTGAATACTGTTGCTATATCTGATCTGGGGCTCCTGCTATTCATCACGGGATTATTGACAAAACCCAAAGAAGGATCTGCAATGTAATCAATCCTGACTTGGAATCTCGACTTCAGTCACTTTCTCAATACGTGCGTAGAGTCCCTCTGTGTTTCCTACAAATATTTTCATGGCAACTTCTCTGACAAGCTTTTTTCGCTGTTGCCCGGACTAGGTGAGTTTAAGCGTGCTACAAGATTGGCATCTAAGTCCCACATTTTTACTGTTGAATTAGTTAAATGTAACCACCAGTTCTACTACAACAGTTTATTTTCTCGCACTTTTCGCCTGTGGGACACCCTTCATATTTCTCGCTTCCTTGATAGCTACATTCAATACTTTAAAGTCAATCACCATCTTCTATCTACTTGAACCACGTCTAGCTTTTATCCTTTCCTCGGCCCATCTCATAGCCGGTCTTTTTCTCCCACCTTCATTCTCTGTAACCCCCTCCGTGGCAGTGGCATTCCCGTCATGCATAGGGTGAAATGATTAAAGAAATATATTTAAAATACCTCATCTCAAAAATATAGACAGATCCTGAAGAAGGCTGGAAAGTACAATGACCGAAACGTCGTGAATCGGGCAATAAATATTTGGACAACGGTGCGAATATACATTATTCGCATAATGTGTAAATAATTACAATACCTCATCTCGGAAATATAGACGAATCCTGAAGAAGCCCGAGACATACAACAGTCGAAATGTCGTGAATACGACAATAAAGATGAGGACAGAAAATATTTTCATATTGTGAGAATTTTATTTAGATAATAGTGATTTAGTAATAGCCCTACTAATAAACCTGTAGCTAGGGGTAAAAGTGGTGGGTTCATGCCTTTCCCAAGGATATTTGCGCGTAAGTGAAAAAAAAAAACGAACACGGCTGGGATTGGAACCTGGCTCTCGGATTTCCAAATCTAAGCCGTTATCCATTACGTCAACCTCACATCGACACCTTAATGCACCTGGTATTCCCAAGTGGTCGTCCTTCTAGTCACTAACCAGGCACAACGCTGTTTAATTTCGGTGATCATAAGGTAATGATAGAGAGAGTGGGATAAGTAAAGTGAGCAAAAAAAAAGAGAGGGATAAAGAGATCTTTAAGGAGAATGAGCGAAAGAGAGATAAAGGGTATAAGAGTTAAGAAAGAAAGAAAGAAAGAAAGAAAGAAAGAAAGAAAGAAAGAAAGAAAAAGAAAAGGAAAGAAAAAGAAAGAAAAGAAAGAAAAGAAAGAAAGAAAGAAAGAAAAAGAAAAGGAATGAAAATAAAGAAAGAAAGAAACAAAAAGAGAGAGAAAGAAAAAGAAAGAAAGAAAAGGAACGAAAATAAAGAAAGAAAGATAAAGAGAGAGAGAAAGAAAAAAGAGAAATAAAAAGAAAAGAAAAGAAAGAATGAAAGAAAGAAAGAAAGAAAAAGAAAAGGAAAGAAAAGAAAGAAAAAAAGAAAGAAAGACAAAAAGTAAAAGAAAGAAAGAGAAAAAAGGAACACAGAAAAAGAAAAAGGAACACAGAAAGAAAGAAAGAAAGAAAGAAAGAAAGAGAAATACGGAGAGAAACAGTGAGTAAAAATACAGGACATATTAAGAAAGAAAGAAAGAAAGAAAGAAAGGAGGAAAGAAAATGAAAAAGAAAGAAAAAGAAAGAGAAAAAAAAAGAAAAAAGAAGAGGAATGAAAGAAAATAAAGACAGAAAGAAATAAAGAAAGAAAGACAAAAAAGTAAAAGAAAGAAAGAAAAATATTAGAGAGAAAATAAAATAGAAAAACAGCGTTTTACACTGAATTTTGTTTCAATCAAAAATGGCTTCTTATCACAATTTATGAAGCAACTCCAATGTAATGTGATATTTTTTAATAACGCGAATGAAAATAAATATAATTTACTTTAAAATAATGTTTTTTCTAATTACGAATTTATTAAGTTGTTCGGAACTTAATATCGCACTTTTGAAGAAAAGACAAAAAGCCCATTGGAATCGAAGAAAATTTAATTTATTTGTCAAGAACATAATCATTATTATTAGCAATGACAGAAACCTATTTTAAAATTAATTCTTTTATTTATTATTGAAAGAAGCTGTGATTCTAGAAGGAAATAATTCCGGTAATGAATATTTTGTGTTCTTTATATATCGTTCATTTAAAAAGAAAATAAAGTGATTCACTACTGAATCAAGTGCGTTAACAAAAAAAAAATTAAGGCATAAGCTTACGGCACTCGATGTTCGCAAGCGGTCACTCATCTAGGCACTGACCAGGCTCAACTTCAGCGATCGTACGAGAATCTGTGTTTCAATGTGACGTAACCGCATGCCATTTCTAACTGCATATCCAAGGTTACATTACCTGGTATTCTCAAGCGGTCACCCATCTAGGTACTGACCAGGCTCGACATTGCTTAACTTTGATGATCGTACGAGAATCGGTGTTTCAACGTTACGTAACCGCAAGCCATTTCTAACTGCATATCTAAGGTTACAGCACCTGGTATTCCCAAGCGGTCACGCATCTAGGTACTGACCAGGCTCGACGTTGCTTAACTTCGATGATCGTACGAGAATCGGTGTTTCAACGTTACGTAACCTCAAGCCATTTCTAACTGCATATCCAAGGTTACATCACCGGGTATTCCCAAGCGGTCACCCATCTAGGTACTGACCAGGCTCGACGTTGCTTAACTTCCATGGTCGCGCGAGAACCGGTGTTTCTACGTGATGTGGCCGTAAGCCATTAATGTATTATGTATTCAGTACCATGTATATCGAAGCGGTCACCCATCCAAATAGTGGCCAGGCTCACTGTTACTTAACTTCGGTGATCATACGGGAACCTGTCCGGTATTTCAACGTGATATGTCCGTTAGGCGCCACTTACGCGTTAGTACCCTTGGGAAAGGTATGAATCCATTTCTCCACACACACACCCTCAGCTATGGATTAAATGGTCGGACTGGTATCAGAAATTCATTATTGTCTCAATATTTTCTAGCATTAAATAACCTTAAAAAGGTTATTTATTGATAAGCCATTAAAAGGAATGTAATGGAATGACCTGTCAAACCCATAAGTGACTACACTATAGGTAGATGCTACCTATAAGTATGTGTAAGTCAACAGACTACAGAGACAAGCTGGTATCTGTTGACTAGCTGAAATCTTTTTCTTCGGGCAGAGAGGAACCCAGACGATACGGGGTCGTAGACCGACTCGACACAGTTTTTTACGCGGTCTACAGGGAATTTTTGCCCGTGCCTACGGGCTCGGATACCCCACGTTAAATTCGGCCTTGTGCCACATCCGACCGCGTGGAGCGGTTGGCAAATATACTAGCTGGTCTTTGTTACTCAGTTCTTAGCTGCTGTTGAAGTCTCTGCCTGAAGGCAGAGAGGAATCTGGACAAGGCTATTGCCGAAAGGCAGAGTCTCGTCCGGGGAAGTAGACAGACCCGAGCTCGTTTATTTGGGGTTTACCGGAAATTTTTGGCCGAGCCTACAGACTCGGCTGGCCCTACATTAAATTCGGCCTTGTGCCACATCCTACCTTGTGGGGAGGTTGGTAAATATTACTAGCTGGGATCTTCTGGAGGAGGCTCTGCCGAGGGCAGAGTCTCGTCTCGAGAAACAGCTACCCGACTCCACTTTATACGGGGTCTAATGGGAATTTTTGGGCCACTGTACGGGCTCCGATTACCTCACATTAAACTCGGTCTTGTGCCACGTCCTACCTCGTTGTGGGGGGGGGGGGTTCTGGTAAATATTGACTAGCTGGGATCTGTTTCTCTGTTCTTAGCTGTTGTCGAACTCTGCCTTCGGGTAGAGAGGGATCCGAACGAGGCTCTGCCTTCGAGCAGAGTCTCGTCCGTGCAGGTAGACAGACCCGAACCCGTTTATGCGGTATTTAAGGGGAATTTTGGGCCGAGCCTACGGGCTCGGATTGCCCCACATTAAATTCGGCCTTGTTCCACATCCTAACCCGCGGGAAGGTTGGTAAATATTTCTACTGGGATCTGTTGAGTACGACTCAGACTTACGCGAGAACTACCAACCTTCCAATAGTAGCACTCACTACTGGATTGACTTGCGACGACCTTGTGCATAACTGTTACCTTTATTCTTATTGTACTGGTTTTTCACAATAAACCTTTACTTATTTTATCCACGTTGTTTTTACAAGTATATATTCCTATTAGCACAGAATATAACAAAGACCTCCAGCAATAACAACAACTCTTCTCTTACCTAGCCCAGGTGGCTCAATGGGGAAAGTATCTGTAAGTCAATGGACTACAGAGACTGGCTGGGATCTGTTGAGTATGACTCAGATTTACGCGAGAACTACCGACTTTCCAATAGTAGCACTCACTACTGGATTGACTTGAGACAACCTTGTGCATAACTGTTACCTTTATTCTTATTGTATTGGTTTTTCTCAATAGACCTTTACTTATTTTATCCATCTTCTTTTTCAAGTATATATTCCTATTAGCACGGAATATAACAAAAAGACATCACTCAGCCCAGAGAAAAAAGCATATTTCTGAAAATGTCAGAATTTGAACTTAATTCACTGATTCTATTTCTTCAATCGAAAAAAAATAAAACTATACTAATTTATGTCAGGTAAAAAGACAATAAGTTTAAATTGTAGTTATTTCCAGTTAATCCAAACGCTCAAATCTACTCGCGTTGAGGGAGGAGTCATTTTTTTTTCTATTATGTCAGTATTTCATACCTTTGAGATTCTCACCACGGATTGCGATGACAGTAGTTATTCTAACATTGGCGTGAATAGTGATAGAAAAGAGCTTGGAATGAGGACATGAAGAACTGTTCTAAAAAGAAAGAAAGAAAGAAAGAAGAGAAAGATTCAGCCAATGAAGAAAGAAAGAAAGAAAGAAGAGAAAAATCCAGCCAATGAAGAAAGAAAGAAAGAAAGAAAGAAAGAAAGAAAGAAAGAAAGAAAGAAAGGTGTTTAAATAGCATAAAAAGAAATAAAAATCCAATGAAAAAGAAAATAGTTTGGTAGTAAGAGAAAATAATGGGATTAATAAAAGAGAGAGGAAATGAAGATAGATAGATAGATAGATAGATGTTTAACTAGTATAAACCTAAAGTTAACATGAAAAAGAAATAAGTAGACAGAAAGAAAAAACTGTTAAAGAAAGAAAGAAAGAAAGAAAGTATGAAAGAAAGGAAGAATGAAAGGAAGAAAGAAAGAAAGAAAGGAAGAAAGAAAGGAAGAAAGAAAGGAAGAAAGAAAGAGACAAATTCAGCCAATGAAGAAAGAAAGAAAGAAACAAACAAACAAACAAACAAACAAACAATGAAGTTTTGAGAAATGAGTAAAAGGAAAGGCGAATGAAAAGGCTAAATTAATAAAGAAGCAGAAAAAAGAGACGTAGGTTCCACTGTTAAAGGAAGGAAGGAAGGAAGGAAGGAAGGAAGGAAGGAGGGAGGGAGGGAGGAGGAGGAAGGAGATTCAAAGAGAAACATTCAGCTAATCAAGAAAGAAAGAAAGAAAAATATTTAACTGGTCTATGAAGAAAAAAGGAAAAGAAAGAAAGAAAGAAAGAAAGAAAGAAAGAAAGAAAGAAAGAAAGAGAAAAATTCTGCGAATAAAGAAAAAAATAGAAAGAAAGAAAGAAAAAAGAAAAAAAGAGAAAAATTCAGCCAAGAAAGAAAGAAAGAAAAAAAAGATAGAAAGAAAGAAAGAAAAATTCAGCCAAGAAAGAAAGAAAGAAAGAAAAAAGAAAGAAAGAAAGAAAGAAAGAGAAAAATTCAGCCAAGAAAGAAAGAAAGAAAAAAGATAGAAAGAAAGAAAGAAAAATTCAGCAAAGAAAGAAAGAAAGAAAGAAAAAAGAAAGAAAAAAGAAAGATAGAAAGAAAGAAAAATTCAGCCAAGAAAGAAAGAAAGAAAAAGGTAGAAAGAAAGAAAAATTCAGCCAAGAAAGAAAGAAAGAAAAAAGAAAGAAAGAAAGAAAGAAAGAGAAAAATTCAGCAAAGAAAGAAAGAAAGAAATAATGAAAGAAAGAAACGGAAATCGAAAAATAGGGAAAGGAGGAATGTGAAATTAAAAAAAAATATGAAGGAAAATGGTCAAGACACAGGGACAAATGACATATTAACGTCCATCTCTCTGCCTGTCTCTCTCTCTCTCTCTTCACTCTCTCTTCACGCTCTCTCTCTCTCCCTTCTCTTCCCTCTCTACTTCTCTTCTCTCTTCTCTTTTCTTCTCTCTCTCTCTCTACTATTTTCTGTATTCCATGCCTTTGTGTACATAGCTATTTACAGTCGTGTTTTGTGCACTTCGCAACCGCGTCCCAATTTTATAGATGGGCTTCTTTTTTTTTTTTTTTTTTTTTTTTTTTTGCATTTTTTTTTTTTTTTTTTTTTTGCTCTCGCGTTTATTTTGATTTATATACTTTTGATTGTACGTTTTTCGACACCTCGAACACTGGCACAATTCAGGCTGCAATTATTCGATTCCTCCCTGTGGAACAAATCGCCAATGTGACATCTCCGTTGCTGGTATGAAAATAACAGCTGTCAGTGCAAAGTGTCTCTCTACGTTAATCAATATCACACCTAAAATGCACCCTTCATTCAAAGCAGCCTGCTTGAAACTGAACTGCAATCATCGAAATCCCAAAACATAATGATGCCATTAAATTTATCTACTGTATTTTTTGTATAATACTTCTTTTCTTTTTATGTGCCGTGTCCTTTCAGGACGTAGGCGGTCATGGCTCTCCACTTCCCCCTATCCTTTGTAGATCTCAATAAGTTTCGTCCCCGTGCCACCTCTCCCAGACCACGTTCTGTCATCCAGCTATGTCATGCATTGCTTCCTCTTGTCTCCTTTTCCCTCTTTTCGACATGTGAGTATCAGATTCTCCAGGCCTTCCTTTCTCATTAAGTGTCCCAGAAACTTCGGCTGCCTCTTTCTGATGTTAAGTATAAGCCTCCTCCTTGTTTGCATCCTCTCTAAGACATCATCTTGCTCATTACTCTTCTTTGTTAACAAAGAAATGCTTTCAGCACGTAGGCGATCATGGCTCTCCACTTTCTCCTATACTTTGTAGATCTCAATAAGTTTCGTCCCTCTGCCACCTCCCCCAGACCATGTTCTGTCATCCACTTGCTTAAGCCCGCCAGGTATGTTATGCTTTTCTTTCCCTTGTCTCTCTTTCCCTCTATTCGACCTGTGAGTATCAGATTCTCCAAGCCCTTCTTTTTCATTACGTGTCCCAGAAACTTTAGCTGCCTCTTCCTGGTGTTAAGTATAAGCCTCCTCCTTGTTTGCATCTTCTCCAAGGCCTCATCGTTGCCCACAAGCTCGGTCCATTTAGAGACAAAAAGAGGGTTCGTATTATGCCCAAGTACGCGATTTCAGAAATTTTTAATCAGCTTATAAAACCTCTTATTTGAAGCAGAAAGATTACAAATACACTCACAAGATAAATTTTGTTTATACAGGTTGAGAATCATTTATCCGAAATTCTTGGGACCGGAAATGCTTCGGTTTTCAGATTTTGTTTTTGATTGTGGAATACAGGCTATTTCATTTGTACATAGCATCTATAAAAATGGGGCAGCTTTGGAATGGAACCCAAGCATAATCACGATATCCCTTTACATTTCATAACACAGCTCATACATATACCCTGAAGGTAGTTTTATATAAATAACATGTACCCTGAAAGTAACTTTATATAAAATTTAATACATTTTGTATACATACAGATACACGTAATGACGCTAGTAGTGAAATTAAGATTTCACGTAAAAGTAATGTTTTGTACTTTCTGTACGTGTACAAAAACTACTTATAAAAATATATAAATGCAACACCAAACACGTTCTACATCAGATGTGAGAAACTGGAGAGAGAGGCTACATCATCGATGAGAGCGTGAGAAAGAAAATTTGGTAAGGTATCAGTCTCTACCAACGATGCCGTGTTTTTATTAACATGTTACAATACATACAGGTAGAGTATTTGTATAAAAACAAAACCTGGATTTTTATTACAGTTAAATGTAATGAAAACTGAAGAAAAATGTCAGCATTTTATTTGTATTGCTGCAATGCAATAATTATACTATAGGTAGCCATGTTGCTTTCTGAAAATTTCTATTTGTGGACAAGTCCTGTCAGAACCTGAAAAACTTTCGAAATTTCGAATTCCAGATAAAAGATATTCAACCTTTATTTTTATTTCCTTCCTTTTTTTTTATAAGGTCTTCTCTCTTCATTCTTAATGAAAGACAATTTTTTTCTTATTTTCATAGTTTATTAATACATAGATATATAATAAAGCCATATCAAACAGTAAAGAATGATAAATTAATTAATTTCTTAAAATATATTACCGGATATGTCTAGTTAGTACGTTTCCCCGAAATTCGAAAATAAGTTTTGAACCGGAAATTAGAAGAAACACATAAGATATTATTAAAAAAAATTAATTTTTTTCCTTTATGTTTTTCAAAGTTAAATATTCTCGATATGAGACATTCTCTGTTTTTGTGTTAGTAATCTGTGTGTGTGTATGTATATGTGTATGTGTACAAATGAGTTTACTAATTCCTCGTAGTGAGACAGTATATGTATGGAGGGGGAATATACGCACGCATATATACATGCATGCTGACAGAAACACATGAAAATGGAAATAGATCTAAGAACACACAGGGGTCATTAAAACATTAAAAGATAAAATACCGATAACTAATTCATCATTTCTCTTGGACCAACCTTAATTGTTTTATGACCCTTCGCGCAGAACTCTTCATTGCCAATTCAAGAAAGAAATTCGGATTACTAACACAAAAACAGAGAATGTCTCATATCGAGAATATTTAACATTGAAAAACATAAAGGAAAAAAATTATTTTTTTAATAATATGTGAAATCTCTGCCTTTTACCTGAAGACGGTCGCGAGACCAGAAACGCGTGTAGTAAAATTATGGAAAATAAAGCATAATATTTTTAAAAAATAAAAATCCACATTACAACCAAAAACGTTTGCGACACCTCTCTTCTCTTCTTTTTTATATATATATATATATATATATATATATATATATATATATATATATATATATATACAGTGTAACCCGGATATAAGAGAGTTGTCGGGACCGGAGAAGAAGTCTCTTATATCCGAGTTTCTCTTATATCCGGGTTTGGTCTATTTTATATACATTAACACAGGCTCTAATTTGGGACCAGAGAAAATCTCTCTTATACCCGGGTTTCTCTTATATCCGGGTCTCTTATATCCGGGTTACACTATATATATATATATATATATATATATATATAGCATGTATAAAATGGGGCAGCTTTGGAATGGAACCCAAGCATAATCACGATATACCTTTACATTTCATAACGCAGCTTATATATATATACCTTGAAGGTAGTTTTATATAAATAACATGTATCCTGAAAGTAGTTTAATATAGAATTTTCTGTACATACGTAATGACGTAAATTCCTGAGATGATGTTTCCCTGATCACTACAATCTTAGCCTCTTAAAGTCGAGGATCAACCGTTGCCTATTTTACGTATCCTCATAATATGCATCTCTGGATCGCTTCATACGATCCCTTACATCAACCCTATTTAATACAGCCCTCCATCTTGAAAGGCTCATTTTCAGTGCATTCACGTGTCTTCTTGCTAATATTTTTTCTGTTGTTCTTAAGGTGAAGATGATATATGAAATAAATCCAGACTGGGTTGGCAACACTCAAAAAGACACGGCAACCTACTGCAGAAAATTCTTAGCAGTTATGAATCAAAAGAGACATGGTCGCCCAAGTATGTATTGCGTTCGGCACTTAACTGACTGATTAGAAATAAGGAGAACAGATCCTACACTTTGATCCCTATTCGATGACCAGAGAGTGCAAGAAAAGCGAAACTTGATTAACACTGGCTGCTTGGTCAGTGAATACCTAATCTTTCGACACAAGGAATTTACTAATTAGTATTAGAGATGGGTTGAACAGCAGGACTTATTGAGTCCTATAGCCTCGATTGGCAGCCAGTCTACAGTCAAAAAAATCCAGAAAACATCCTGCCTAGTCAGTCATGAATTAAAAGAGACATGTTCGCCCAAGCATGTATTGCGTACGGCACTTAACTGACTGATCTCTATCTATAAAAGGCAGGATATGTGTGTGTGTGTGTGTGTGTGTGTGTGTGTGTGTGTGTGTGTGTGTGTGTGTCTGTGTGTGTGTGTGTGTGTGTGTGTGTGTGTGTGTGTGTGTGTGTGTGTGTGTGACAAATGCACGGCCGCAATTTTCGACGGATTTGCACTAAATTTACATGCACATGCTCCAAGTTAGCGGGAAAGCCAAGACCGACTTTGCATTTCCCAACTCCCATCGATAGTGGAAATAATCGATTTTTCATGCTTCTACGGCAGTTTTCATGTAGTTTGCGGCCATTTTCTACTGGCCAGAGTGAGCCAACAGCTGACTGACACGAATGTTAAATAGCATGCTAAAAATTGATAGCTGCATTCGTCACAAGTGGGAAAAATTTAAATCTGCATGGCACTTTACTCTAATTGGCTCATTCGCTTGCTTAAACACAACGTTGATTCTGATTCCGCAGAACTGGGTTCGGTGTGAAAAAGTATTTGTTGCTAACATTGTTTTTTCATTCGGTTTTTCCAGTTACGAGTTCTTTTTTAAAGCTGGTCGTTTTGTGTTCATTTTGTTTAGTTCTTTTTTCGTAACAGATTTAATGTTTAGTATAGAGCTTAGAAAAAATTCGCAGTGTGAGATAGGCAAGAAGTAAGGCATGTAGCAACATCAACACGGCAATGGGCACTCTTTTAAAAGCAAAGAAGGGCAAAAATATTTTAAGTCAAGTGATAGCGATTGCTGTATGAGTCGTACGATTTTTGAATCAAGCACGGGCAACGCCGGGCCATGCTACTACTTAAACATAATTAGAATAGATACTACACTTTGATCCCTGTTTAATGACAGGAAGTGAAAGAAAAGCGAAACATCGAGTAGCACTGGCTTTTTCAGTGAATACCAAATGTTTTGACACAAGGAAACTTTAATATTATAATTAGAATAAGAGATGAGTTGAACAAAAGGACTGGAAGACTCATATAGACTTGGTTGGCAATCAGTCTACTTTAGAAAGACACGCTATTCTACTGTGGATGAAACTTCTGCCTAGTCATGAATCGAAAGAGAGGTGATCGCCCAAGTATGTATTATGTATGGCATAATTGACTGAGTACGCTATCCACTACAATTTTGTTACTGACCAATACAGTTTTGGGTTTCTCGACTCAGAGACTACATACATATGTATGGAAGTCTTGTTTGTCACTATGGGAAGCCATGTTAATAATGATATATAGTCAATGCATATATACGACAAACGATGAATCATTCGCTTCGAAAGTCTAATTGTTATTAAACTCGCCATTTCAATGAATTTAACGTTTAATGATTCCATATTTCACACTGTGTTCTTAGCATTTTCTCTCTGGATTTACATAAATATTCTTCCTGCTTTTATCCTGACAAGTAAAAAAAAATTAGCGCTGCAGGAAATTTTCATAACGAATATATTTAAAATCACAGGAAGAAACCGGAAAGAGATGTGAATAGCTGCATGCTCACTAGAGACAAATGTAATTGAGAAATTGTTTCATTTTTTTTGAAAATTTTTCCATTTTTTAAAATCATATAAATAAAACTCGAGACGTGAAATCCTAATGCATATTTTAAAATAAGATTTCGGTGTATTATTTGATTTTGTCCATATTTGCTAGATTTTTTTACAGGAATTTATAATTCATGCTATGATGTTATTTGTACTGATAAAAAAATCGCGAAAACGACGATAAACATTAATTGAATTTTTTTTTCATTTTTTTACATGTTAATTTCTTTTAGAAAACCATTCTATTTTTTGTTCTATCTCTGTAACTTCTTTTAAAAAAAAAATCAGCGTTCTATATGTTTTAAATTTTTAAAATTAACATTTAAAAATTTTAAAACCAAAATAATTTTAATAAGTTCCAGAAATAATTTATTCATTTTCAATATTTTTCTTTTTCTAATTTCAGATAGCAATTTTTTTTATAATAACTTTTTTTCTGGGGATATAAATTCATTTAAGACTACTAACCTTGATCAATATTAATAATATAATCGCAAGAATAATCGAGAATCTATAATGGCAGCAAACTGCCTCCTTAGAGAAAATGAATTCAGTAAATATGCAAAAAAAGAAAAGGTGGAATCTGTTAATTGAGTGGGTAATTCCAAAATTTACTTCAGTAGTCAGGGCTTTTATGCCCAGGTTTACCACAAGTAAAATAGGTAGGGACATTAGTGTGTGCGTATGTTTCTTTGTTGTTGTTTTTTTTATTAAAACAGATAAAAATTATCCGTCTGAAAATGAAACGTTTTTCTCAAAATTGGCGGTAAGAGGTTAAAAACAGAATCATATTTTGGATTGACAATTCTACTGAAGAATAACAGCGATTCGTCCACTATTTGGCCTATGGGACAGGGGAAGAGATGGATTCATACCTTTTCAAGAGTTTTGCGCATAAAAAGAACATAACAAACCCGACTGGAACTAGAACACCGCACCCCGATGACTCATCCCGAGCCACTATCCATTACACCACCTGCATATCGTGGATTCTTCCCAAAAGTGTTCTTGGAGGAAACCATAATAACTGCATTTCCATAACATAATAATAATAACTTCAATGTCCACTTATATATATATATATATATATATATATATATATATATATATATATATATATATATATCAGCCGTCAATATACCTCCATAACACCCTCGAGCGCTTAGACTTGGAGAGGATAGAATGGAGATCAACGGGTTTTTTAGTGGACAGCAGTTTTCAATCAGCTTGTCTGAATCGTCTTCAAGAAGCGAGAGCAAGATCTAAAAGGTCAGCCAATCTGACAGTGTTCTCGTCCCACAATCCCTACTCTTGCTCCATATGCAGCCTCCTTTGTAAATCACTAGCGGGTCTTAAGTGCCACTTAAGATTATCGCACAAAATTTCATAACTGAATCAATTAAGTTCTCAGATCCTCATACATCGAAACCGACGGAAGACATTATATATATATATATATAATATATATATATATATATATATATATATATATATATATATATATATATAAGAGTTTATGAATTTGTTTATAATCAGGCATTTTTTATTACTTAAGATTTATTTTTTAGTCGATACATGTATCTGAAATAGACACCCCGTTTTTTAGTTTGTTTTTTAAACAGTACGTAATACGTATATCGGCCTGCGCTCTTGAACACCTAATAAGAAAAATGTGCTCTCCGATGGGGTTCAAACCTGAGTCACCCTTTGTAATAGAAACCAGCATTTGATCCTACAAAGTAAGATAAAGGTACGAACCCTGCTGGAGAACATTTTTTTTATTCATTTTTAGCGAAGTCGCAGGCTGGTGGACGTAATACACACTTTTTAAAAAACTGGCCACACACACACACACACACACGCACACACACACACACACACACACATATATATATATATATATATATATATATATATATATATATATACAGTTTTACTTGCTATAACTCTAGATTGGAAGTTCGATGTAGCCTAATTGTTATGGTTGTTGATGAGAAATACACAGTTATGTCACCTATCCACTAGGCCCAGCAACCCAAGGTTGCAATTTTTAAATAATTTAATTTTTTTTTTTAATTTTCGTATTCCCATTAGAATATTTTTAATTTTCGGTAATTATATTTCCGTTTTTTCTTTCTTTTTTTTTAACTAATAATTTTTTCTTCTTTTTATGATCTTTTTTTTTTTAAATTCCAGATGTTAATTAATTTTTTCCGTGGTAGGTTACCATTTTTTATGCGACAGACCAATTGACATCCAAGGCTATGAAATCCGGTCTGTCCTGCTATTTACCCATAGCTGGGGGGGAGAAGAAAAGGATTCCTACCTTTCCCTAGGGTATTACCACTGGACTTCGAACTCGGCTCTCCGATTTCTCAGTCCAAACCGCTATCCATTACTCCACCGTACCTCATTATAACACGTAGGGAAGTTATAACTCTGTAAATAATTATAAACCCCCTTACGTTTATATATACAAAAATACTTGTAAAAATGAGAAACACAAAGACGTAGAAACGACAAAACGAATATTATTTATTATTTGATTCGTATGTGGTGTTAGAGAAACGAGAGGCGTTAATACTCAACAAAATTGTGAGTTTGTAGTCAAATGTAGATCAAATATGGATCGGAATCCGACGGAATAATAAGATAAAAGAATAAGCCAAGTGTTTAACGTTTTTTCTCATGTGTGTAATGAGCGCCCAGATAATTTAGTTGGAAAAGTACGTGTCTGGGGTTTACCTACATCGATTTTTCTTGAGGGCTATTAGATAAATATTACTATTTTAGCCTGAAAGGATAAGAACCGAAATTTTCGTTGGCGCACGTGTTAATGACCTGTTCGTGAGAACTGCTTGTCCGAGAGTGGGAATATCACGTATTTGTGTGTGTACATGAGAAACGTGAGGGCGATGCTCATTGGTTTAGAATGAGTGAATTAATGATAAATTTAATTGTAATTATTTTATAATAATTATTTTTTGACACTATAATTAATTTTTATTTTATTATTTCTTACAGATACGATGAATCTTTACTGCAGAAATTTGACCTCTGGGATTTGCCGATAAATACGTTCTGCCAAAAAGTGGAAAGGTTATCGACAGAGGCAGAAACATTTGAAGGAGAAATTAAAGGAGAGTTTCCCCGACGTATTTTCAGCCGGCCTCGGGAGGTGTAAAAAAATGACGGCCAAAATCGAACTAAAAGAAAATGTACAACACATATTCGAGAAGAAAAGAAATGTACCTTTCGCATCATTAGAAAAGATAGACGAAAAGTTGGATAGACTCGTGAAAACCGGTATATTGACAAAGGTGGAATATAGTCAATGGGCCGCACTTACGGTTTACGTGGAAAAGAAATCGGGTGAGATACGAGTATGCGCTGATTTCTCGACGGGATTGAATGCAGCGATTAAGGATTATCACTATCCTCTCCCCAGTCCAGGGGAAGTTTTCACAAAGTTGAACGGATGAAATTTTTTCTCAAAAATAGACTTGAGCGAAGCATACCTAGAAGTACCAGTAGATGAGTAAAGCTCGAGGTTGTTGTGCGCATAAACACTCATAAAAGGATTATACAAGTTCCAGAGATTACAATTCAGGACCAAGGCCGCGCCGGTGATATTTCAGCAAATAATAGACACTATGCCAGGCGGAGTGGATTTCACGATCGCATACCTTGACGACATCCTGATAAATAGCAAAAATATTGAACAACACTGGGAACACGTTCAAGGGTTTTCAGGCAGATATAAAATTACGGTTTTAAAGTAAAGGAAAATAAATGTGACTTCTTTATGAAGGAGATAAAATATCTGGGCCATATTTTTTAACGAAGAAGGAGAAGACCAGAAAGAGACACGGCAATGGGCACTCTTTTAAAAAGCAAAAAGGGCAAAAATATTTTAAGTCAAGTGATAGCGATTGCTGTATGGAGTCGTACGATTTTGAATCAAGCACGGGCAACGCCGGGCCATGCTACTACTTAAACATAATTAGAATAGATACTACACTTTGATCCCTGTTTAATGACAGGAAGTGAAAGAAAAGCGAAACATCGAGTAGCACTGGCTTCTCGTTCAGTGAATACCAAATGTTTTGACACAAGGAAACTTTTAATATTATAATTAGAATAAGAGATGAGTTGAACAAAAGGACTGGAAGACTCATATAGACTTGGTTGGCAATCAGTCTACTTTAGAAAGACACGCTATTCTACTGTGGATGAAACTTCTGCCTAGTCATGAATCGAAAGAGAGGTGATCGCCCAAGTATGTATTATGTATGGCACTTAATTGACTGAGTACGCTATCCACTACAATTTTGTTACTGACCAATACAGTTTTGGGTTTCTCGACTCAGAGACTACATACATATGTATGGAAGTCTTGTTTGTCACTATGGGAAGCCATGTTAATAATGATATATAAGTCAATGCATATATACGACAAACGATGAATCATTCGCTTCGAAAGTCTAATTGTTATTAAACTCGCCATTTCAATGAATTTAACGTTTAATGATTCCATATTTCACACTGTGTTCTTAGCATTTTCTCTCTGGATTTACATAAATATTCTTCCTGCTTTTATCCTGACAAGTAAAAAAAATTAGCGCTGCAGGAAATTTTCATAACGAATATATTTAAAATCACAGGAAGAAACCGGAAAGAGATGTGAATGGCCTGCGCATGCTCACTAGAGACAAATGTAATTGAGAAATTGTTTCATTTTTGTTGAAATTTTTCCATTTTTTTAAAATCATATAAATAAAACTCGAGACGTGAAATCCTAATGCATATTTTAAAATAAGATTTCGGTGTATTATTTGATTTTGTCCATATTTGCTAGATTTTTTTACAGGAATTTATAATTCATGCTATGATGTTATTTGTACTGATAAAAAAATCGCGAAAACGACGATAAACATTAATTGAATTTTTTTTCATTTTTTACATGTTAATTTCTTTTAGAAAACCATTCTATTTTTTTTTCTATCTCTGTAACTTCTTTTTAAAAAAAAAAAAAGCGTTCTATATGTTTTTTTAATTTTTAAAATTAACATTTAAAAAATTTTAAAACCAAAATAATTTTAATAAGTTCCAGAAATAATTTATTCATTTTCAATATTTTTCTTTTTCTAATTTCAGATAGCAATTTTTTTTATAATAACTTTTTTTCTGGGGATATAAATTCATTTAAGACTACTAACCTTGATCAATATTAATAATATAATCGCAAGAATAATCGAGAATCTATAATGGCAGCAAACTGCCTCCTTAGAGAAAATGAATTCAGTAAATATGCAAAAATAGAAAGGGGTGGAATCTGTTAATTGAGTGGGTAATTCCGAAATTTACTTCAGTAGTCAGGGCTTTTATGCCCAGGTTTACCACAAGTAAAATAGGTAGGGACATTAGTGTGTGTGCGTATGTTTCTTTGTTGTTGTTGTTTTTTATTAAAAACAGATAAAAAATTATCCGTCTGAAAATGAAACGTTTTTCTCAAAATTGGCGGTAAGAGGTTAAAACAGAATCATATTTTGGATTGACAATTCTACTGAAGAATAACAGCGATTCGTCCACTATTTGGCCTATGGGACAGGGGAAGAGATGGATTCATACCTTTTCCAAGAGTTTTTGCGCATAAAAGAACATAACAAACCCGACTGGAACTAGAACACCGCACTCCGATGACTCATCCCGAGCCACTATCCATTACACCACCTGCATATCGTGGATTCTTCCCAAAAGTGTTCTTGGAGGAAACCATAATAACTGCATTTCCATAACATAATAATAACTTCAATGTCCACTTATATATATATATATATATATATATATATATATATATATATATATATATATATATATCAATATCAATATACCTCATAACACCCTCGAGCGCTTAGACTTGGAGAGGATAGAATGGAGATCAACGGGTTTTAGTGGACAGCAGTTTTCAATCAGCTTGTCTGAATCGTCTTCAAGAAGCGAGAGCAAGATCTAAAAGGTCAGCCAATCTGACAGTGTTCTCGTCCCACAATCCCTACTCTTGCTCCATATGCAGCCTCCTTTGTAAATCACTAGCGGGTCTTAAGTGCCACTTAAGATTATCGCACAAAATTTCATAACTGAATCAATTAAGTTCTCAGATCCTCATACATCGAAACCGACGGAAGACATTATATATATATATATATATATATATATATATATATATATATATATATATATATATATATATAAGAGAGTTTATGAATTTGTTTATAATCAGGCATTTTTATTACTTAAGATTTATTTTAGTCGATACATGTATCTGAAATAGACACCCCGTTTTTTAGTTTGTTTTTTAAACAGTACGTAATACGTATATCGGCCTGCGCTCTTGAACACCTAATAATAAAAAAATGTGCTCTCCGATGGGGTTTCAAACCTGAGTCACCCTTTGTAATAGAAACCAGCATTTGATCCTACAAAGTAAGATAAAGGTACGAACCCTGCTGGAGAACATTTTTTTATTCATTTTAGCGAAGTCGCAGGCTGGTGGACGTAATACACACTTTAAAAAACTGGCCACACACACACACACACACACACACACACACACACACACACACACACACACGCACATATATATATATATATATATATATATATATATATATATATATACAGTTTTACTTGCTATAACTCTAGATTGGAAGTTCGATGTAGCCTAATTGTTATGGTTGTTGATGAGAAATACACAGTTATGTCACCTATCCGCTAGGCCCAGCAACCCAAGGTTGCAATTTTTAAATAATTTAATTTTTTTTTTTAATTTTCGTATTCCCATTAGAATATTTTTAATTTTCGGTAATTATATTTCCGTTTTTTCTTTCTTTTTTTTTAACTAATAATTTTTTCTTCTTTTTATGATCTTTTTTTTTTTAAATTCCAGATGTTAATTAATTTTCCGATGCCAAATATGGAATATTTCTTTAACACATAGCCTGTCACTTTATATTTTCTCATTAATTCCTGAAAGATGTTTCCGTCCATTCTCGGGAAAAGTTCATTTCTCGATGAATGAAATGTCCCGATTACTATTAACTGATATTCACACTCAGGCCACCAACAATCAAATTGCTAAAATGGCTGATTTGAAGTTACGTCAATAAACGACAGCAAAAATTGAATTTTTCCAAACTGCCACAACTAATTTACTATACTTCAGCACAATCTGGGAAAAAAAAAAAAGAGGCAACAGAAATATGCTTCCACAGAAGGATACTGAAAATTCCATGGACGGAATAACCAACAAGGAAGTCTTTAAAAAAAATGGCAACAGTTCGATCACTGAAGTTAAGCAACGTCAAGCCTGTTCAGTACCTAGATGGGTGACCGCTTGAGAACACGTGCTGTA